CAGTATCTGCAGGCCAAGATCTTGCTACTGGAGACTAAGAACCCAAATACATATTAAGTGTAGCCTTCTCTTGGTTCCCTATGCCTGTACTACATTGTATGAACATGGACAGTACTCTAGCTTTTATTAATGCAAAAAATTTTAAAAAGCAGTTTTGTCTTATTTAGACTGATAGTGCTCAAAGCTACTGCTACAGAATCAGTTGAGGAGTTCATGAACTGAACAATTTCATCCATTGTGTTCACCCACAGTACTTTCATACTATTCCACATCGCCTCAACTTCTCCAAAGCTAGCTGTTTTTAACAGGGGAAGCACACTGGTTTTTGATTTTTAAAATAAACTTTAAAAAAAAAGTCAGAGATCATCAATTAATGGCACAGAACAACAGTGAATTAAAAAGTAAGCAGCACAAACAGAAAGTAACTACCCAGTTATGCATTTATAATGCAAACCACTGCACGTCCGGGAGTGCTGCAGCACACCCCACACCTCTAGTTCCAGGACCTATGCCTTAATGAAAAGGCAGAACTACATAACATGCTTAATCCTGCTATACTTGAGATCTTTCTTATCATTCATAACATGGATATTAAACCGTATTTCTGTATGAATGAAAACTATTATCCTAACCATTCCTCTTAACAGCAGTTCGATGATTTTAGCACTGTATTATACTAGTACTGTATATAGTTGATAGAATAAGGTTTAAGGCCCAGATCCCCAGAGGTATTTAGGCTCCTAACTTCCACTGATTTGAAGATATCTGTGGAACTGGGCCTAAGGCACCAGCTCAGTAAAGCACGTAGCTTGTCCTTGGCTTCTGCCATACTTTAGCAAAGCACTTAAATGCGTGCTTAACTGGGGCTTAATAGCCTTATTCAGGGCCTCCTTCAGGTCTCTGACCGATCGTAGAGATAAGAGGCAAGTATGTTTAATCAGTTACAGTTTCTTCCTGTATTTAAGAACAGGTGCTTAAGTTGATATAGATTTTCCCCAACTAGAGTAAGAGAGGTTTATCTATATAAAATTATGTATTTTGAATACAGATCACTGATATTTCAGAATGAAAACTATACAAAAGCCATTTCAAAGGTCTGGGTTGAGGTGTTTCCATCTTGAGGGGCAGAGAAAAACCAAACGAAAACCAAAAATAACTTTCCCCTTCTTTCCTCCTCCCCCCTCTCTCTATTATTGAAGGTCTTATTTTAGGCTCCAAAGAGGAATTATTGTGGGTTAAAGAACTTTCTAGACAAGTGCAGGACTGAGCCTTAAAAGTTAGACTAAACTTCTGTTGCTGAAATAGGAGTTTTCCTGATTTGGGACAGCGGATTCAGACCCTCAATTGGGTTTTTGAAATCAATAAAGGTGTATTCGTGTTTAATATTTCTAAAAACTGACATTTTTGTTAAACAAACATCTTTTTCACTCAACTGTTTGCAGTAGTCCAGATTATTATCCTAAATTCTGATTCAGTCACCCTTATTCATGTTGAATGATGTCTTACCTTAATCTGCAGTATCCCCATTGATGGATTTCAGTGGGACCATTCACATAAGGTGCCACTCAATGTTAGTAGCAATAGCAGAATCAGGCTCAATGTGCTGCTAGTTAAGATATGTTCAGTCAACAAAACGCACACTACTTCTCATAGCAGCAGCACCAACGAAGTCGTTGGACTAAAATAATTCATTGCTATATAGCACCTGTTTAAACCTAAAGTTTATTCTCTCTCCAGGCCTTCTTAGGGGGAACACAACTGCGATTGTTTACATTAATGAAAGTGAGGCATACAACCTTGTAGTCCTAGAACAGAGTGTTCAGTGCTGTACAAAGTACATACCAAGCCAGTCCCTGCCTCAGAGATTTTACAAATTAGAACAGACATAGAAAGACAAGAATGAGTTACTTTAAAAAAAAAAAGTGCTTTTACTCATCTTAATTAATACTTGTCATTCACTTGCAAGATACTGGATTAAGATGATATTAAACAATGTAGCATTTCTCAGGCTAGATTTTGCCACTCCATAGTATTTTAATGAACTGGGAGATCATTTCATCCAAATCAATTTCTAGATCTACTTCGTTCACTTTGAAGCACTGTAAATTGCTAATGAAGTTGGTTTAGATACAGGAGAAAGTGTTTCAGTAAATAGGCACTTTGCTACCGGTAAGGATGTTACTGTTTCAGAAAAACAGAGGTTTGTTAATAAGCACAGACGACAAGGAAATCCATCGTACAACATTCAGTAATTTACATTGCTGGACAGGTATACAAACCCTTCAAATAATAAAAGTCAAGGACAAAGCAGTACAAAATATACTTTGATAGGGCTCAATTTTGTTATCCTCCACCCACTTTGAGTAGTATTTACTGTTTAACAAGCCTTACTGGTTTCAATGACGTTCCTCAAGGAGTAAGGTATTACTCCGTGTGCGTAAGGGTAATGAATCAGGCCCTTACACAATTGTGAGCACTGCACTTTTATTTATTAGAATATTAGCAAATATACTGTACCATATCATGTGAAGATTATGAAGACTTAGTGAGAGCTCACCACAGCACTTTTGCAATTAAGTCTTTGCCAAAGACCACCTTTGCTACATGAATTATAGCATGCAGTGCAGATCAGTCAAAAGTAGATTAAGGCGGTTCCACTGCGCGATGTAACTAAATATTTTTTTCCACTTACCCAAGTGGACAGTGAATGTCCAAGATAAAGAAGAAACTTTGCAGATGTAAAATAACTGACACAGGATCCTAAAAATAAAGTGAGAGATAAATGCTAAAGAGGATTCAGATGCATTTGCCTATTTGGCATCTTCCTTGGTTGCTACTAAGTTTTATTCATTTTAAAGTCAGCAATCTCTACACTGCAAAAGTCTTTTATTGAAAAAATAAGCTAAGATGTTTGCTATACATGTTTTAATTCCACACACTGGAATAGCTACAGCATAGCAATTGTGCAAGAGAAAAAGCCATTATACTAAATGAAGAAACACTGAATATTTCAACAGGTCTTACTAGCTAAATATACACAAAGTTTGGAGCGTATTTACATTGTGCCACCTGATTGCACCCCATCCAACATGCAATACCAGTGTTTCTCAATGACCAGTCTGCAGACCAGCACCAATCCCTGAGATCTCTCTGACAGAGTTTAGGAAAAAGAACAGGAGTACTTGTGGCAACTTAGAGACTAACAAATTTACTTGAGCATAAGCTTTTGTGGGCTACAGCCCACTTCATTGGATGCATGGAGTGGAAAATACAGTATGATGATTTTATATACATAGAGAACATGAAACAATGGGTATTACCATACGTTGCAAATAGTTCAAGTTTAAGTTTCATCAGGGGAAATTTGAATCTCAAGACTGAGGTCTTCAGCTCCAGTCTGGATCACTCTGATATTGGACTGTAACCTATGGAACTAATTCTGGAAGAACTATTTGCAACGTATGGTAACACCCATTGTTTCATGTTCCCTGTGTATATAAAATCGTCCTACTGTATTTTCCACTCCATGCATCCGATGAAGTGAGCTGTAGCCCACAAAAGCTTATGCTCAAGTAAATTTGTTAGTCTCTAAGGTGCCACAAGTACTCCTGTTCTTTTTGTGGATACAGACTAACACGGTTGCTACTCTGAAACCCGTCATTATGCAAGGCACAGAGTTTAGGAAGGCAGCAAGCTGGTCCCTGGTATCAAAAAGGTTGAGAAACACTGCACTACACCACTTATGTGTGCACCCTTTCCACACTGCACTCTATACACAGCACGCATACATGTTAGGCTGTAGTTCAACCTCAAGTCACTAGACTTGATGTAAGAATTACAGAATGTAATTCTATGGCCTGTGTTACAGAATCACAGAAAAGTAGGGCAGGAGCTCACACTACACCAGGGGATCTCAAACTTCGTTGCACCGCAACCCCCTTTGGGCAATAAAAATTACTATGCAACCCCAGGGGGGAGAAGGGGGAAGGACTGAAACCTGAGCCTGCCCAAGCCCCCAGTGGGTAGGTGGCCAAAGCCCAAGGGCTTCAGCCTCAGGCAGGGGGCCTGTCACCTAAGTCCCGATGCCCAGGTCTGAAGCCACTGGGCTCTGGTCACAGGGGCCAACAAGTCTAAGCCAGCCCTGGCAACCCCGTTAAAATGGGGTCCAAACTCACTTTGGGGTCCCAACCCACAGCTTGAGAACCGCTGCACTACATGATCAATAGGAACCTTTCTGGCCTCAATATCTCTGTATTGCCCACCGCAGCTGAGCCGCACAATGCCATGCCCCCTTCCCCTGTAACCCCCGCATGTGAGCGGCATGGGGTGAAGTGCCACCCCCGCACCCACTCGCACTCCTTCCCAAGCAGCGCGCCCCACAAACGTGCTGCGTCCCTTCTCTAGCAGCCGCCTTCGGCCAGCAGCCCCACCGCGCAGCCTGGTCCTCCCCGCAGGATACTGACCACAGCAGCCTCCGCCGCCGCCTGTCTGCTCCGCTGCCCGAGCCATGTCAGCTTGCGCCCCGACTCCCGCTCGCTCTTCTGCGCTGCCAGTCCCGTACCCCGGCCGCGGGCACAGCGGGGGAGACGCGCGGGGAGAGGAGGGGGCACGGCTTCTCCGAATGTTGGTCTTCCCCAACTTAGCTAGCACTGTAGCTGAAGTCGGGGAGCGATAGCCTTATGCGCAGCGGCTGGAGGGCCTGCGCTCCACCGCCGACGGGTCCCAGCCAGGCGCCCAGCTCCCGCGGCCGCTCCTACGGCAGCGCAAGGGGCTCGCCGCCCTTTATAGCCTGGCTGGGCCGAAGGAGCGGCCTATCAGCGTCCAGCTGATCTGCATATTTCCCGGAGGCATTCCCTCTGGGAATATGCTATATTTAGCACACGCCCACGAGCTCAGCATGCTCAGGAACAGCTGCCGAAGCCACTGCCCTTCACCCTGCCCGTACGAGCGGAAGATTCTGCTGGTACTTTTTTAGAGGGGTTAGATTGGCGGAGGGGGCAGGCCAGGGTCTGAGCAAGGGGCGAAAGAAAGCCTCACCAAGCCCCGCCCTGCCTATGGCGTGGGGGTCGCGGAGGGATAAAGGAGCGAGGCGGCGGGGACGGGAGTTGAGCCGGCGGCGGGGCGCGCGCAGGATGGAAGAGGAGGAGCAGGCCAGGTGTGGAGAGCGGGCGGCGCGCCCCGCCCCGCCCCGCAGGCTCCTGGATCTGTGTCCCCGCCCGAGGGACAAACCTTCACGTCTTAAAACGTTGTAACCCTGCTTCGCCGTGGCAGAGTAAGTCAAACCCCATCCTGAGCATGAAGCGTGTTAATGAAGTAGGTGGCACCAGGGTCTCAGCACAGGTCAGGCTGAACGCTTTGTCCCTGTCCCTCGCCTCGACTCCTGAAGGGTGTAAGCAGGCAGTACTTTTAACAACCTGTTTCATGTATTGATTGCTGGATTCCCCCGCTGGAAAACCCACTGGCGTTTGAGGTTAGGAAGCCTTCGCTGTAACTCACGTTTATTAAGAGGGGACTCTAATATTAAGTAATAAGGGAAAGGAAGAGAACAAGGAAAACGTTCTGCTAGTACACTGGTGTGTGTGTGTATTTCATCTATATCTATAGATAGATATGTCATCTTATGATCCACTAGGACAAGAAGAAAATAGAAACATATTAAGTCAGATCTCATGAGTCCAGTATTGCCAACCCCAATCATGAGATTGGTTTACAAAAATCATTGATTAAAAAAAATAAATGTTGGGTTCTTCCTATTTTCCTTTTGGGTTTTAAGCCTTTAGGGTTCTCAAGCTTTTCTGAACCATGAGGTCTAGAAATTTACTTTAAAAATCAAGCTGAGATTCTTGCCTAATCAAATGACTCAAGAAATTGAGTCTTCAGAGAAAACACCAAATGTAAGAGCCATGCTAAAATCACAAGGGTTGGCAGTAGTGTGAGTCATAGCTTTCAAAGTGCATATATAGTCAAAGCTCCTTTGGAGTATGAAGCAAGGGACCAACAAAAAATTGGTTGCTTAACAAAGTTGCCATAATTGCCTAATAAATAGTACATTCACAGGGCAGTGGTTTTCAAACTGTTTTTCTGGGGACCCAGTTGAAGAAAGTTGTTGATGCCCGTGACCCAACGGAGCTGAGGATGAGGGGTTTGGGGTGTGGGAGGGACTCGGAGCTGGGGCAGAGGATTGGGGTACAGGGGTGACAGCTATGGGGTGGTGCTGGGAATTAAGGTTTCAGGGTGTGGGAGGGGGCTTTTGGCTGTGGCAGGGGATTGGGGTGCAGGAGGGGGTCAGGGCTCTGGGATGGGGGTGCAGGCTTTGGGGTGGGGCCAAGGGATGTGGGGTTTGGAGTGCAGGAGGGGCTCCGGGTTTGCGGGGGCTCAGGGCTGCAGCAGGGAATTGGGGTGCGGATTTACCTCTGGTGGCTCCTGGTCAGCGGCACAGCTGGGGTGCAGAGGCAGGCTTCCCACTTGTCCTGGCACTGCGGCCCGTGCTGCGCCTGAAGCGGCCAGCAGTAGGTACAGCTCCTAGGTGGAGGTGCGCAAGCAGCTCTGCACGGCTCTCGCCCGCAGGCACCGCCCCCCTCCCCAGCTCCCATTGGCCGGGAACTGGCCAATGGGAGTGCAGAGTCCTTTGGCCCCCCTGCCTAGAAGCCGGATCCGCTGCTGGCTACTTCTGGGGTGCAGCTCAGTGTTGGAGCAGATAGGCAGTAGCCTGCCTTCGCTGAGCAGCACCACTGACAGGACTTTTAACGTCCCAGTCAGCCGTGCTGACCAGAGCAACCCAGTGTCTTACATTCCACAACCCAACCCCAACTTTGAAAAATGCTGGTTTAGGGTGATCTTTTAAGATCTGAGCTAGCCCAGTAAAGGTGGTCTCTACTACAGGTTTCACTATACTTCTTTCCACACCATATGGGTAACCTGCAGCATTCACTGTGAGCAGAAATTACAGAAACAAATAATTCTGTAGAATTTTTAAATGGTAGATATTTAAATGAACATTTCCAATATACAGATTTTCTAGCTAGGATGTCATGCAGATGTTTTAAGGAATATCAAATCTTGTGCTTCACAGTTCACAATGATTGCTCCTGATGGCGCCATGTGGGAGACTTATCTTCCCATTGTAGAGCAGCAGTTCTCAAACTATGGTTTGGGACCCCAAAGTGGGTCACGACCCCATTTTATTGGGGTTGCCAGAGCTGTGTTAGACTTGCTGGGGCCCAGGGCCGAAGCCCAAGCACCACTAGGCTGTGGGCTCAAGCTTTGTCTTTAGCCCTGGGTAGCAGAGCTCAGGCTTGGGCTTGAGCCCTAGGTGGCGGGGCTCAGGCCCCTCGTGGCGCTGACGCTCTTTGGCTTCGGCTTTCCCCTGCCCAGGGCAGCAGGGCTGGCGGAGGGGCTCAGGCTTTGGCTTTGTCTCCCCCCCCCCCCCCCACCTGAGCTGCAGGGCTCAGCGGGTTCGGGCAGGTTCAGGCTTTGGTCCGCCATCCTGGGGATGTGTAGTAATTTTTGTCATCAGAATGGGGTGGTGGTGCAATGAAGTTTGAGAACCCCTGTGCATTGCAAAATTGGCCTGGTGAATTTATGGGAGAGGATTTTCTTCCCCAGAAATAGTACGTATATAGGTCATTGCTGGAGGCAGGATACCAACCTCTATGGTCCAGTAATCCATTCTGGTATGGTCACTCCTGTGATCCTTTTCAAAGTATTTCTCTATTAAAGAGGTGGCTATGTTTTTTATCAATGAATCACAGTTTATTCTTTGTATAAAAAGAACCCTACCCTTGGAAAAAGTAATACACCTGTACATAAAAAAGGAGGACTACAATTACTATTTTTATGGGGAGATCGTATATCCTGAAATTAGTTTAGTGGTTTTTCCATAGTGTATATTAACTAGAAAATGCACCAGTTCTTTCTCTCAGGTTGGGATCAAAGGGAGAGGAAGTTTTGGGAATGGCCATATTACAAAGCCTAAGTGCCTTCATTGTACTGTACCTCATCAGCAGGTAAAATTTCTGTGTATAGCACTTGACCTTTTTCCTAGTAGCAAACAGTTACTATTATGACATTAAATAAATATCATATTTTATATAAAAATTAACGAATATTTAGTTGATTATTAGACCTATTTACTAAAGGCTTGATTCTGCTTCATTTACTCACAAAGAATAGTACTTTACTCTTTGAGTAGTCCCATTGATTTCATGGGGAGTACCTGTGGAGTATGACATTACTCAAAGGATTTTAAACCTTATGCTTCAGTGTTTAAACCAATCTCTAGCTATAAGACGCCAGGTAAGACCTGTGTGAAAGGCAGGTTATCCCACATCTGGTTTCTAACATTCCCTCCTCTGCAGCTTCTAGTTCTGACCACTGTCCGAGAGAGGATACTGGCCTCAAAGGAGAGTGGTTCTGATCCAGTATGTCAATTTCAATGTTTCTGTGTTTGAGAGGCAGAACTGGGCCGGAAATAGTTTTCTATTAAATTGCTATGATCCTTCAAATACATTTGATGCCAACGAACCATGTCAGGAAAACACTACTAAACCAGAGTTTTGGTCATGCTTTTTCTTTTCTGAGCTTCCCATGATGAAAGCTGGATGTGTTAAAATACAAAAACACAAATACAATAAAAATACAAAATACAATATAAAGAATACAAATAACAACTGGAATGACTCCATACACATTACAAATGGTACATTATATTGTAAGATTGAAAACAATGTCCTCATTGTTTCTTCTGCACCTTTACTACACAAATGACCCCTCTGCCCAATTTTGTGGTGGTTAGAGTATGAAATTTGGATTCCGAAAGACTAGTTTCTGTTCCTGGTTTTGCCACTGATTTTAGGGTCTTTGCCAAGACACTTATTAACCACTCTGTGTCTCAGTTTCCTCGTCTTTAAAATGGGATAACAATATTTTCTTTAGAGGATTGTTGTGAGTCCTAATAAATTAGTTTAAGTGCTTTAAGATCTTTGTATAAAAGGTACTATATAAGTTCAAATAATTAATATTAAGGTATCCAATACAGCCAATGAATAATTTTAAACTGAATTGCGCTGCTAAGACATCATGAATATTTCTAAGGATGGAGTCTCATTCTGGGACATTAGTTCATTGGAATCTTTACATCACAATATTTACAAGTTTTAACTGGATCTTTGGAAGAGCTTAATGGCTGGAAGTTGTATGAGAGGAGATCCCTGTTCGACTTGACTTAGACCAGGCTGTGCAATCTTGCAGTAATAACTTACACAATTTTGGGGATGCTACAGCAGTAGAGGCAGCTTAAAGGTATAGCTTTGAATCTGAGCCTGGGACCCTAAAACCTGCACCTTCATTGAGAAAGAGGGAGATTTTGAAGGCCCTCTTGGATCCAAGGACCCATCTTTTGACTGTGTCTGGGTGCTTAAAGTTAGGCTTCTAAACCTGTATTTAGACTCCTAAATAATAGTAGCTGGGATTTTCAAAGCTATTAAAGAGACTTCAATAGAATTTGTGGACACCCTCCATAGTGAAGGCAAACAGTGGCTGCAGGAGCCCTGGATCATGTGTATGTGTTTACCTGGGGCCCAGAGCCAGTGCAGAGATATGGGGCATCCTTGCAGATGGCCGTGGCCTCCCACAGATCACCTGGGATATGTATATTTATGGACAAACTCCACCCTCCAAGATAATAATCCAGATACTTCCTCCCCTTTACTCCATCATGTGTGTTTTCACATAGGAAGGGTTGATCAAGGCCTTTCTTTTTAATTAAACCAAAACCGATATCATCATGTAGATATTTCTTCACATAAAAAAAAAATCCTTTGGAGTCTCTGCTTAATATCCACATGTAGACTATGCAGGGGAAAAATTAAAATGCTGTCCTTTGTTTTTCAAGCTCTCTTAATTCTACAAAGCTATCTCTGAACAGGCACAGGAATAAATACAAATACACTGTAGATACATTATAATCTTCCTAGACAAATTGTTTATTGGATCAACAGTTCTAAAAGCTCTCAGGCTTTATTTAACAAACAGATAAAGTTGTTTTCTTTAGTTAAAGTAGTTTTCAATTATAGCCTAGGTGAAGAAATACAACTGTTGAAGTGGTTTTGGATTTTTAAATAACAGATTAATAACTAAAACGATTTGCAGTTCACACAAGATAAAAAGGACTTCTTTAATGAGACAGACCAGAAAGAGCAGATGATATAAAACAGGAAAAATGTGGCATATCCAAACTGTCTCTGACTAACAGAGACAGTTGTAACAATAACA